TTGTGGGGCTTGAACTCTGGGCCTGGGTGCTGTCCCTCAGCTCTTCAGCTCAAGGCTAGCGCTCTACCACTTGAGCTATAGCACCACTTCCAGCTTTTTTTTTTCTCTGCTTATGTGGTGCTGAGGAATCAAACCCAGGGCCTCATGCATGCAAGGTAAGCACTCTACCACTGAGCCACCTTCCCAGCCCATTCCCAAGTAATTCTGCTGGGCCCAAGGGGAGGCAGTCCCAAAGCCTAACTGCTCCAATGTTAGAGGATATAACTCAGGAGGCAGAGTCAGAAGTTCAAGGCCAGGAAGGGCAAAGGAAGTGAAACTCTGTCTCACAAAAATACAAAACAAAATTTTTTTAAAAAAAGGACTAGGAGCATGGCTCAAGTCTAGAGCAGTTAACTATTCCCTGGGTTCAGTACCACAAAAATCTCTAGCTAAACATTCATTGAGCAGTTACTAAGGGCCAGGCATTGATCCAAGCACAAAAAAACAACTGTTTATTAACTCAGTCCCTATGACAACCATTTTTGGTAGGTACATTTTCCATCATAGACTTTTTTACATGGCAAGAAAATGAAATTCAAAAACCTTAAGTAGGGCTCAGCAAAGATTGTGAAAGTAGGCAGGCACAGTTGGCTTTACACCTTTAATCCTAGCTACTCAGAAGGCTGAGATCTAACAATCTTGGTTTGAAGCCAGCCCCAGCAAGAAAGTCTATGAGACTCTTCAGCTAAACATCAAAAAAGAACAAAGTGGTGATGTTGCTCAAACCTTGAGTAAAAAAGCTAAGGGACATGCCCAAGTCCTAGGTTCAAGGCCCAGCATTGGCACCAAAAATAAAAATAAAGTTCTACAACGCATTTTAGGAAATCACTATACACAAAAGCTTGACCTGTTAGCTATCGGGAGCCCCTCCTCAGTGCACAATTTCTATTCTAGCCTAGTGTTTCTCAGAGCAAGTGTGGGCCTGGTCAGAATCCCAAGCACAGTCCTTTAAAAGTGCAGATTATTAGCACTTATCCGAAACCAGAATCTAAAGGAGTGACAAGGAATCTATATTATTATTATTATTATCTTTAAGTAGGTGTACAAAGGGACTTCAATTTAGCATGCCATTTTCTGAGTACAATGCATGTTGATTAATGTCACCCCCCCCCATCCTTTTCACCTGTCCCCCATCTCTTCCAGCCCCATCCATCCCCTCAAGTTACCTGGTTCCATTTTCACATATGTACATGGAGTATTATGACTGTATTTACCCACCTTTCCTCTCTCCATTTGAGAATATATATTCTTAGTAACCTCTCTTGGTGATCCTATTCATACCCAAGTCTGATCAGTACTATTATCTAGTTCTTAGAAAGCCTAGCAAGAACAGTATTGTGCTCTGATTCAGGCCCAAGCAAAATATTTCCTTCTCTTCATGATGAACTTCTGTGGAGCTACTCTCTCTGCCATCACACCTGAAATGTCTTCACATTAGCTGAAGAATAACTACCTCAGCCTGGCTTCAAAACACTTTAAAATGCACTTCGGTTTTCTAAACGTTCTACTCCACACCACCCCATATTCCCTAATGACATTAGAAGACATACAGGATGATCTTCCTTTCTTTGTCTTTTAGAGCCATATTCATTGTAATGTGAACAAAGAAAAATTACGTAAATTTCATAATGAATAGCAGGATTTAAAAGAAGACAAAGTGAAAAGTAAATGCATCTTTTTTTTAAATATTAAAGACTAGCACAGGCCATGCTCAGATAAAGTCCTAAGTGTGGGAAGCTTTATCCTGTAAGGTCCTAAAACAGGTACCCTCATTTTCAGCCTTGCTTCACTGTTCTTCAGCCTTGAGCACAGATGTTCTCTGCCTTTTATCCAAGCAGTAGCCATATCTGGCCCACCAGCTCCTCTTGCAGATATTTCTTGACTTGTTACCTATACTTTCATGCCCAGTGCCTGTCTCTTGCCAGAAGCACTCCAGGGTTCTTCCAGCATTTCTAACACACTCCCTTTCTGAACTCTTTTAACCTACTTACTGTACTGCTCATTTGGAACATAATTGCTACCTAGCGGCTCTATATATCGACTTAGCATCCTTCCCCTAGTGAAACACAAGTCCCTTGAGAATAACCAGTGGCCTCTTTTTATCTCTGGATTAGCGACAATACTAAGCATCCTGGTTAGACCTGAGCACCAAACATGGACTCCGTGAATACACAGGAGTTAAGGACGCAACAGAATGACCTGTGCCACCATGACAGAAGCAGCTGCTTCATGCTCCCCACTAAAGGCCAAATGTCTCAGCCACACCTGAAAAAGGGTGCACCTCTTGATTCTTTGCCAGGTATGGAGCACAGAAAATTCTACCCAAAGATAGGGTTCTGAAGATGTACACAATGATGGACTGGAAAAGATGGTCTTACTCAGCCCCCTGGCAACATGTCTCTGCAAAGGCCATCCTCTCTGCTGATGAATCCCCATGTGGAGTCTGGAGAAACCAGAGAGGCCTAGCAGCCTCTAATGAAAACCAGTTCTATCACTTGATTTTATCCTATGACGTTGGGCTTCTGCCTCAGGTTTGTTTGTTTTGTTTTTCATCTGTCCAATACCTCTCATACCTAATTCACACTTGCTATAAGGCAAAAGAGATAATGATTTTGAAAGCACTTTAAGTTATCATGCCCAATAAAAATGTCAGAGTCACAGTACATCAAACAGATTGAAGTGCCAGATGGGCTGTTCCCCCCTAGGCAAACCAGGCAAGAGGAGGCGAAGACCCAGTTCCCAACCCACCTTTGCTTCCTATGGGACCTTGGGTACCCATTTGGCTTCTTTGGAACTCAATGTCCTGGTACATAAAACTTGCCTGTGCACCTGATGATCTGGTCCAGGGTCAAATCCACACGAAGGTGACAGCTTTAGAAGAAAACCACCAGGCAAGGAGTTTCCACTGCTCCCTTTCTTAGAAGTGCTGATCAGGGGGTAGTACCCTGATGTATTGCAATGGGTTTGAGGTGAACCTAAGTTCACTGTCAACAGAGGACACTCAGACACACTCTTTCCAACTGACTCCTGTTCTACAGATTAAAACAACAACAACAAACATCTGTTCACTCTCTTTGCTGTCTGCTCACTATCTATTCTCCCTATCTACACACTCCTGCCAAAGCTTCCCCCTACCCATCTCCTTGCCGCCACCATCCATATTTTCTTTCCCTTCCTGTTGTTCCCAAAACAATGTCAAAACCACAGGTGTTTAGTGTTGATGATGAGCTCTGACGCTACTTATTCCTCCCCCTCCCCCATGGAGCACTGCTTATAAGAGTACAAGAAGCAAAAGTCCAGATGTATGGAAGGAATGGGGAGCAAGTGGAACTGGTGTGGGGAGGCCATGTAGGAAATGCATTGGGGTGGCACTGACTTCCATAAAGGTTTGCTTGCTTTCCAAAGTAAAAGCCACGAGTCTCTGAATCGCTGAGGACAGTACTGGCATGGCTTACTGGAGCTCCCCTGTAAAGCCGGTAACCATGGTAGCAGGCAGGCTACATCAGAGCCATGAGCATTAAAAGAGCACGCTTTTTCCTATTTTCCCCTAAACCCCATATCCTTGAAAAATGCACATAAGGATATATGCCCAAAGAATTCACCTGAAATCTCTGACCCCTTGGGGTTTCATGAAGTCCTCTGCTTTTTGTTTGTTTGTTTGTTAGTTTTCAGGAAGTGAATCCTTTACAATTCTCTGAGAGGAGGCTCAGATATCTGTGTACAGATGAAAGAATCGTGAAAATATTCATTCAGAGCAACACCTGCACTGAACAGAAGCATGTAATCTGAAACACAGAAATTCATTTCCTAATTTAGCACCTGCCCTTCTAGAGAAGAAGAAGAAGAAGAAGAAGAAGAAGAAGAAGAAGAAGAAGAAGAAGAAGAAGAAGAAGAAGAAGAAGAAGAAGAAGAAGAAGAAGAAGAAGAAGAAGAAGAAGAAGAAGAAGAAGAAGAAGAAGAAGGAGAAGAAGAAGAAGAAGAGGAAGAGGAAGAGAGGAGGAGGAGGAGGAAGAGAAGAAGAAGGAGGAGGAGGAGAAGGAGGAGGAGAAGAAGCAGTAGAAGCGCTTCTCCTCTCTGCTTGCCCAAGTGCCAAGGTTGAATGTATTTGGCTTATAGTACATTGAGAAGGCCTATTTATTTCCAAGTTCCTAATAACTGACAACGTAGTCAATTAACAATTAACTCAATCTCTGACATAAATAGTATTTCATTCCACAATATGTTGAACATCAAAACAGGGTAACAATGTAACCTTCAGATTCAAAGCACTGCCTTTGATTATCGCAAGCTGTACGGTTTTTAAACGACTACATTCTGAATGCATGGGCAATGAATTGGACAAAACAAGCGAGAGGACGTTTCTGGGACCCTGGAGAAGAACGTATTTCTTCTCGTCGTGGTTCAGAAGAGATAACCAGCATTTAGTGGAATAGAAACAAGCAAGCTTCCTCTCTCTCAGAGAGAAAAAATAAAGCAACTCCTCACTTGGCTGCACAGGACAAAGCCAGGACGTGCAAGAAAGCATCAGTCTAAGCTCCACGTGCCTCGCCCTCTCGGAGGACAGAAGGACCCATCCCCATACATCACTCCTGGAAAGCCAGCCCACCAAGCGTCGCCAGCAAAGGGCACCAGGTCCTCCGCCAACCTGGGCACCAGACACCAGGCTCTTACAGATGAGGAGATCGCTGTCACAGGAGGGCACAGAGGGGCTGGAGAGCTGTACCCCTCTTTCTTTCCAAGTCTATCTCTGCACACACACACACACACTCTCTCTCTCTCTCTCTCCATCTATGAAGTGAAATCTGCCTCTCCAAGGAAACTGACATGTAAATGCACAAACACACATCCCGGTCGCCACTTAAGTCCCTAAGCCCCAGGACCCAGTGCCAAGGGGAATCGAGTCTTTTTTCCTGAGACCACCCCCCCCCCCCCGCGCCCAAGGCGGAGGGGCCCAGACTCACCCAGTCCTCGAAGTGCCGGCTCCCATTCTGCAGCAGCTCCTCGAACTGGATGGTGCAGTTGGCCACGAAGTCGTCGTAGCCGATGGGGGCATCGTGAAAGACAGCCAGCTCGATCTTGCGCCCGTTGCACACATCCGTGACGAACTCGTCGTGCCAGGCCGGGCTGTTGGTCTTCTGCTTGGTGGCCGTCTGGCCGATGCGCGAGTCGTCCACGTTGAGGGCGATGTAGGGGTCCAGAAGGAAAGTCTGCGGCCGGGGTCCCACCGCATGGCGCAACGACCAGGCTGTGGGCTTCAAGCTCACGGCCTCGCAGATTTTGATCTTAAGAAGGCCATTGAACACTACCATGGTCGGGGCGGGGAGCGCGGAGCGGAGGGCCGGGATCACTCCGTCCGCCCCGAGGGCAGCGATGAAGCCCCGACGGCGGGCTCGCGAGCTGTCTGGGGACTCCTGGGTCCTCCCCCCCGCTCTCGCCCCACCCCACTCACTCCCTACACCTTGTGGCGTGGAGCCGTGGCGCCGGCGATTCTCCGCGAGTGCATGTATTTCCTAACGCGGCTGCTAACGGAAAACAGGGAGGGGGGGAGAGCCGGGAGACGTCCGTGTTTGGAGCAAGTCTCTCCCCCCCTACCACCGGCCGCACCTCCAGAAGAGGAGGCGAGCTGTGGGCTCGGCTGCCGGCCGCGGGGGGCTGCCGGGCCACCTCGCTGGCTACTCCGGGTCGGCGCCCTGCGCTCTACCTACCTTTCCGAAACATAATCCCGGGGAAATTTCGACTCCGGGAGGGGGGAAGGGAGAGGGCAGGGGGAGGGGGGACGGGGCGGGGACGAAGAGCTGGGGGGGCGCAGATTTCCACCCGCGATCCTCTTCGCCCACCCAGCGCCTGTCTCCGGCCGCGCGGGGCGGGCGGGGGCTGGACGGAGGGATGTGCAGTCAGTCTATCCGGAGGGATGCATCTCCAGAGGAAACAGTCTCCCCTCCCCCGGAGGCAATTAAAAAAAATGATTTAAAAAAATTAAAAATCCACAAACCACCCCGCCAAGCCCAGCCGCCGCCTCCTGGGCGAAGCAGCGCCGCGCCGTAGCCGGTGATCGCCAGGCGCCAGGAGCCCGGAATCTCACATCCGCGCGGGCTCCGGAGTCGAGGTGGCCGCCGCTCGGGCTCGGGGCGCAGGCCGGCACCGGGCGGTGCGCAGCGCGGCGGCGGCGGCGGGGCCCGGACTGCGACTCGGCGCGGCCCCACCTCCGGGGCGCCGGCGCCCGCCCGCCGCGCTCCCCGCGTCCCCGCGTCCCGGCTCTCGGCTGCTGCCTTCTCGCCGCGCTCCCGCCGGCTCTCTCCGCGGTCTCCTCTCCCCTCCGTCGGTGTGAGAGCGAATCTCCCTCCCTCTAATGCAGGAAATGCGCAAAAGACGTCAGTGTGAGTGTGTGTGTGTGTGTGTGTGTGTGTGTGTGTGTGTGTGTGTGTGTGCACGCGCGCGCGCTCCCGCGCCTGTGTTTAGGGAAATAGAAAGTTTTGCCGGTTGGGGGAGCAATACGGGAAAAGTGAGCGGTGGAGAACACAACCGAGAGAAAGCCCAGCAGCCTGCCCGGGTCGTGGCGGCCCGGCGAGGACACCGGGCGGTGACCCAACGGCAGGACCCCGGGAAGTTGGAGGCGCCGGGGCGCGGGGGGCGCGTGCGCGGGGCCGCGGGGGCTCGGGTCTTCTCGGGAGACCGGCGGGCCGCGCGCTTCTCCCGGACACTTGGGCCAACACGATCTCCTACAGCGAGGGGCGGGGGAGTGGGTAGAGCACGGGTGGCGGGGGGCTGCGTCGCTCCCTCCCCGAGGCCCACCCTGCGGAGGACTGGGGGCGGCGCGGGGACGGGCTGGATGGGGGGCGTGCCCAGCCCGAGCGGGCTGCGGGGCGCTGGCGGGGCGCCTGGGCCCGGGACCCGCGGCCCCGCCGCGGCGGGGGAGGGGGAGTCGGCCGCAGGGAGGGTCGATCCCAGCTGGCGAGAGTTTTCGAACGCATTCTTCTCGCTTCCCTTGCTCGGGAGTTGTGGGTCCTGTCTCTCCCTTTGGGGGCGATGGGGGGGATCTGTCTGGACTTTGTATGCTTGGAGAACTAGTTGACAAGTGAAAGCCTCGTAGAACCCCAGCCCTGCCCGGCTGGGTCTGTGTTTTTCGCGAAGTGACTCTTCTTCCTATTTAGGCCGAACCTCCTCCGTGCGTCCCCTCGGCGCGCTGACAGCGGGCGTCCGGACTGCGGGAAGACGGGGTGCGTCCGAGGGGCGGTGGTGGCGAGGGTTTGTGTCCGAGCCAGTTTCCTCCGTAACCTTTAAACTCTCCCTGCAAGCCGACTGGTCACGTGAGAGGAACGCTGGGCCGCTGGGGAAGAATTTCCTCCGCGGGGAGCCAGGACGGGGTAGGAGGGTGAGGTTCGGCCGCGGGCGGGCCGGGGAACGGGGAACCTGGGAGGGCGGGGCCCTGCGCGCCCAGGCGGTGGGCGCGGCCCAGCTAAGGACTGTGCACCTCCGAGGGGTCGACTGGGCTGGGGCGGGGGTGGGGTGGGGGGCGCGGCAGGGGTCTGGGTAAGAGGAAAAAGAAAAACCTCCTCCCTCGAGGGATGCCAAGTCAAAGCTCAGAGTTTGCGGGGATCCTGGTAAGCTGAGTGTGGAACTGGCGGATCTGATTAGTGTAAACAGAAATTTGTTAGACCCACAGTACCCCCGATCGCTTCCCCCCCCCCCCCCGTTGGAAAAAGGTTATCATTTCCTGTCGCTTGAAGGCGAGGTAGGAGGCGGTACTCCAGCAGCAACGGGATAGCAAGGGTGGCAGGCACACTGGTCCCCAACATGATCAAAGGCGTCCCAAGAACATCAAAGACGACCCTCTGACATCCCAGGAGAGCATGTCCAGGCGTCACTTCCGGAGCTCTCCACCTGCAGTTCTCTGAGCTGGCTCTGTTCTGGCTTTAAGTCTTGGAGACCATTGAGATCCAAAAGTCAGAGTTGTAGCAGTGTACGTTACATGGCCACTCCCATTAAAAGTGTGATATTGTATCCGTCCAGCAAAACACAGGCAGGAATGTCTCAATGCTGTTTAATGTTTATTTCTATGAACACTGGAATTCTTTTCCTTCTTGCTTCTCAATTCCACTATTCTATTCGTATTTAACTTCAACTCCCCTTCAAGGGTCATATAAGGAAGGAGGTAGAGCATAGGGCCTGGTCATTGGAAGATGTATTTGTGAGGAGCAGGGCACAGCTCTAGGTGGAGATATCTTTCTCACGAACAAAATTTAAAGACTGCCAAAAAGTTATTAATATAGTATTTTCACAAATGGAGGGACAAAAGGTGAACAAATGCAGCGGTGGTACTCACTAGACACTGTTGAAAATGAACTGTACAACTTGTATGTGGGGATGGGAGGGAAAAACTGGATGAGAGGAAGGGAGGGGCTGACATTGTCCAAAAGGAAAGGTACTCATTACCTGACTTCTATAACTGTAACCCCTCTGTACATCACCTTTATAGTAAAAATAAATATATTTTAATACAAATTGGTAAAATAAAAATGTAAAACTTAAGAGTGAATAAAATACCCAAATTTCAGATAATTTTGAATGCTGTCCCAAACTTGTATTTCTTACTCAGTATAATGGCACCTATTACATTTGATAAGCTAACAGAATTCTTCATTTCCCTCACCCAGCCCTGATCCTATTAGTAAGTCTAGAAGGTCAAGATTTCATGAAGGTATTGACTAGTTGCTGTTTCAGACTGTCTTTCTATCTGAAATACTCACAACTGAAAAACATTGACCTAAACCCCTCCTCTGTAAAGTAATATGCAAGAAGAATAGAATATCTAGTAGGAAGTTGGTTTAGACTTAAGGATACAACTTGATCTTTTTGCATATCCTATTCCCACTTTCTGCTCCAATCAAGACTCCAAATATATTAAGAATGGTCTCATACCATCTAAGTGACTATATTAAAACAACCTACAAATTTTTCATACTATTGCCTTGCATCCTGGATAAAGTTATAGGAAAGCAGCATCTGCTTGTTAAGAGATAGTCACTCCATGTGGGCATTCAGACTCCAATTCTCTGGGATGAGAAATACTAGTCTTCCTTCTTTCAGAGTAGGAATGCAAAATGGCATGGCTAGACAAAAATGACTGCTTTGTGTTAGGTAATGTTTACGTAAAAAGTAGATGTTAGTACTCTGCATGCAAACACTCCTGGTTTCCTGCCCTTATCGCAGACTTAGTTCCAAATAAATCTCCCCTTTCCCCATTCTGAAACTTGGCCATATGAAAATAAGTCCTCTCCAGGGGGAAGCATTTGAGAAGGGAACACTTTTAGGGGAGAACTTTTAAATCTGTCTGACCAGGAGGTGGGTCTAAAATAATCCTCTAGCTGGGTACCAGTAGCTCACAACTATAATCTTAGCTACTCAGGAGGCTGGGATCTAATGACCAAGACTTAAAGCCAACCTAGCAGAAAATCCAGGAGATTCTTATCTCCAACTAACCAACCAAAAGCTGGAAGTGGAACTGTGGAACTGTAACTTAAGTGTTAGAGCACCAGCCTTGAGCAAAAAAGCCTAAGCAAGATCAATCCCTAGCCAGGTGCAGGTGGCTCACACGTGTAATCCTAGCTACTCAGGAAGCTGAGATCTGAAGATCGCCTTTCAAATAGCCAGGCAGATAAGTCCATGAGACTCATCTCCAATTAACCACTGGAAAACCAGAAGTGGTGCTGTGGTTCCAGTGGTAGAGCCCTCGCCTTGAGCTGAAGATCTCAGAGACAGTAACCAGGCTCAGAGTTCAAACTCTACAACAGACAAAAAAAATCAAGTCTTCTTGCACATGTACATGCAAAAATAAATAAATTTGGGGGCTGGGAAGGTGGTTCAGTGGTAGAGCGCTTGCCTTGCATGCCTGAGGCCCTGAGTTCGATTCCTCAGCACCACATAAGCAAAAAGAAAAAAGCCGGAAGTGGCGCTGCGGCTCAAGTGGTAGAGCGCTAGCCTTGAGCTGAAGAGCTGAGGAACAGCACCCAAGCCCAGAGTTCAGGCCCCACGACCGGACCCCCCCCCCCCCCAAAAAAAAAGCCAGAAGTGGCGTTGTAGCTCAAGTGGTAGAGTGCTAACCTTGAGCTGAAGAGCTGAGGGACAGCTCCCAGGCCCAGAGTTCAGGCCCACGACCTGACCCCAAAATAAATAAATAAATAAATAAATTTTTTCCCGTGCTTGATTTCATGTGAAAATCAAAACCAACCCTAATACTGGGAGGCGGGCTTAGAATGTAAAATACCAATCAATAATTACTGCCTGTTGCATCCTTCTCCTGACTTCCACATACAACACCAAAGGGCAGGAAAATAGTTGTACAAATTGAGCAAAATGCCTTTGGATTTCAGCAGTGGCCTAGTTATTTCATAACCTTTGACAAGGAGAGGGGGAGGAGAGGAGAAAAGAGGGGAGAGGAGGAGAGAGAAAAAATACAGTGGAAGAATTCAATAAAGATTATCAAGATGAGACTCTTCTTTTAAAATTATGGCTCATGGAAAAAGGACTAATAGAGCAGTAAGCAGGCCCTGGGAAGTGTAATCAGTGTTGCAATAGTTCTGGGAATGGGAGTAGTATCCCCTGCCTGGGGGAATTTAGGAAGGCATCATCCATAAGGTTCTTGGAACTGGAATTCCTCCAGCAAGAAAAAAGAGAGGGAAGGGCTTTGGAGGCAAAAGGAACAGACTCAGCACACAGGTAGGAAAAGCTAAGGCTGGCTGAGGTGGGTCAGGAACCTCCTAGTAACAGGAGATGAGGAAACCCAATGGAATAAGGCCTCACTAGGCCTGCAGATGGCTTTGAACTGTTGGCTGGAAAGACACTGAACATTCCAGGGGGTGACCAGCAAAACCTGGAGTTCATACTTTAAGAAAACAGTTTGTGGCAGATGAAGAATTTTCTGTAACTTTTCCCCAGCAGACTTACCTCAAGCCAGGATGTGTGTGTGTGGGGGGGGGGGGGGGGGGGGCAGGGGAGGTATCCAAGTCTGAAGACGATTTACAGATTTACATTGTGATGAAGGATGAAGCAGTTTGTAGATGTTGTTTAAATCAACTACAGGTGGCAGGAAGTGGAGAGTGAGGACCTTAGACTAGATGTTAA